AATTTTTGGACTGAGCCAAGGCATTGCCCTCGAAGTCAGGCTGAAAGAAAGGCATATGGTTTGGTTGGCTATCAGGTTGGTTGAAATTTCAAGTTATGTACTGTGTTGACGAATCAAATAAAATGAAACTGACTGTCACACTGATCAAGTTCACTGTGTTTAAACACGATATGATGGCACAGTGATAATGATTATCACAAGAGTAATAATAACTGCAAGATTACACACTGTTCACGAGCCAGAGATAATTGTGCTTTTCCTTAGGAGAATTAAACGATCTGCAAGAAGCAAACACAATCTAAATTCTCATTGGTTGCGTTCTAATGGGAATATTTTCATGCGCTGCATCGAAAGTGCTTTGAAAATGATTTATGCACATTTGTTGAGGTTATAGTATGAGTGGAAATGTGGCAGACACATTAACGATATTTTGCAGAATGTGATTATCGAAGTTGGATAGCCCATCAAAAAACCCTTTAATGTTGATATTATGGTACACATTCGAAACTGCTTTCATGGCGTTTATCTGACCTTAGCAATGATATTCACTGAATAATGTGATGAGTTAGAGTGCGTTGCTTAACAGCAATGCAAAATGATTACGTGAGTTACAGTGGCAATAATACTGTTGTTGATAATGGCAGTAGTATAACAATGATGTCCAGAACGGTAATTGGAAAATGAGAAACATTTAGTTCGGTATGTTTGCATCTAGAGAGAACTGTAAACCAATTATTCCGGCCTCAGAATCATTTACTAGTGAACTGAATTGCAATTTAAGGCGAGAATGTGTCGAAGGATATCTGAGCTAATGCCAGTTATAATTCGCGCTTCACAGTCAACCGTTTCGACTTGCCAAAAGGTGTTCTCTGATCGCCGATGGAACTGTTCTTCAGTGTTGTTAGCACCACAGCTGAAACCAGACCTAACAAAAGGTTCAGACCCTTTGATATCCCTTGACAAATACGATGCTTTAGTCAAGTCACGAATGCAACATTTTGAGCTAATTAGTCTAGAATCTCATGATTACGCCAGAACATGAATGGCCGATGAAGTTCATGAGCACTAAATTCCGAGCAGTATCTAGGTTGAAGGCAAATAAATAAATTTAAATATCCTTCTGAGTGTAGTCAAGAACAGATTATGCCACTAAGGTTCAGTTCGATTTCTCTTCTAAATTCGAACTGATCATCGAATGAACTGTGAACTTTCTTGAGGTACCAAAGAACAGGCGTATGTTTACGCACTTTCATCAGCCGCAATCACACATCACGTCGCAAAAGCGTGCGTTTCTGGTGATTTACCGTATTGTCCATGTGGCCTCAATTCACCCACCGTATCCGCTGATGCCACTTACAAGGTATGTGTAGTCTTAGTGCTATTGCTCATTCTTATTCCTTATCGAACAAGTACACTGCTTTTGCCACCAACATTATTCGTAGCATCACGATCAAATTTCAAAAAGGGCAATTGAGTGTTTTGCAATTGAGAATTTCGCTCACTAATGGATTTCTTATATACTTATGAACTTCACAAAAAATGAGTCAACAGTGGTGTG